TCCAATCCGCGCCTCTCGCTGCGCTCCTCCACCGCGGAGATCAACGTCGGCATTCACAGTCACAGCTCTAACTGTGTGGACCACGAGGTGCTGGACGAGCCGGAGGCGGAGCTGGTGAAGCTGGAGAGCTCGGCGCTCGGCATCGACGCAGAGCGCACGGCGTCGGCGTCGCAGGTGAGGACCAGCGAATCGGCTGACGGAACGGCGCACAGGTCGGGCTCAGCCGACGGAACGGCGCGCGCGTCGGGCTCGGCTGACGACGGCGCTATCCTGCACACCGAGGCCGCCGAAAGCGACGAGGGAGGAAACGGAACTGCATGTGCAACACCCGCACTCGGCCGCAGTCGCCGTCAGGCCGGAGGCGGGGGCCGGGGACGCGGCCGGAGTCAAGGTGCCAGTCGCCGAGCTCGCTGCAGAGCCCGCTGCAGAGCCCACCGCGGAGCCCGCCGCAAAACACGAAGATTCGCCTGCCGATGGGTCTTCCGTCTCGGCTGAAGTCCAGCTCGCTGGCTCAGCAGAGGCTGAGTCTGCTGCCCCGGCGGAGGACTGAATCTGCTGCCCCAGCAGAGGCTGAGTCTGCTGCCCCAGCAGAGGTTGGGTCCGCTGTCCCAGCAGAGGCTGTGTCTGCTGTCCCAGCAGAGGCTGAGTCCGCCGCTCCAGCAGAGGCTGAGCCTGCTGTCCCAGCAGAGGCTGAGTCTGCTGTCACAGCGGAGGCTGAGTCTGCTGCCCCAGCTGAGGCTAAGCAGACTTCTTCCGCTGGGGTTGAGCCTGCTGCCTCAAATGAGTCTCGGACCCCATCCTAGGCTGGCGAATAGTGCAATACTGTTGTGAGACCCGGTGTTTGTGCTTCATCATGTCCTGCTGTTGTTGGGAGCGAAGTTATCAAGCGTGCAAAACAATCCAGCAGAAAAAGTTCTGTAACGCTGTGCTCGTGTTTGACGTATGCACGTACTTTTAGTCACATAGTGCGTAGCAAACTGGATTTTTCGTGCGGCGGTCGCAGTAATTAACGATGCGGCATTCCTGAACCATATCACCGCAAAGCTTACGTCCTGCCTCTCTTTTAGGCCATGCCTTGGAAGTTAAGATTTATGCTTTCGCCACGCAAAACCAAATGTTTTCTCCGTATGAAGAAAAATCTATGACGGCAACGATGCTGCCTTGTTTTCAGTTTGAGACCTACCAGCGGCAACTCAAGAGAGGTTTGAATGGAATACGACAACGTTTATACATGTTTGATACTGGAACCCCACCCCATTCCCCGCGCGGGACAGACACTCTCACCTTCCAAGCGGTTTTTTTGTGCTTGCCACTCTTTAATAGTCCGCTGCAGTCCTACAAAATTGTGTCGGTTTTCATTGAGTTGAGAATTAATACATGGGTTTGTAGTGTCAAAAATTTTAAAAATAGCTCTTCCAGGGATGGCTCCAGGCTCTTCCTTCAGGCAAACAATCTGCTCTGCGAAGAGGGCATCAAACACACTGTTGTGCGGTACACTTCCTTTGTGTTTGGGAGAATAAGGTCAAAATTTGAGATAATAGAATGCACAATAGGCAGGGCTTCACTTTTCAGGATACGTCTGAGCGGCGTTAAGCTAACTGAAAACGATGGTGTGCCGTACCTTTTGTCTAAATTAAGCATGCAATTAATATGATAGTTTGTGTTATACAGACACCTATATGCATCACAATGAGCGTGTCAATAACATTGACAGGAGTTTCAAGAACTCAGAATGGTAGAGCCATGTGGCGTGCTGACGAAGAAAAACTGACCGGCTGTTTACCTGCATGTGCCCCAGCGCAATGTGTCATACAACACAAACTAGCTTCCAATATGTGTATCTGATGTTCTACGAGCCAAATTAGACCTTAACAGCATATATTTATCACGTCAAATATAATCGTTTCAACACTTACGAGCACCCCCAAAAATTTCCGTTTTGGTTCTCTTGTTTGGGTTCATAACGGACACGTGCATTCCTGGCTGAACCTTGTTTGTCCTACTGAAGTTGGTTACCAAACATGGGCACAGCACCATTTCAAAAAAAGCCCAAAGTTTCCAGTTGCTGTAACTGGCCCTCCTGAAAAATAAAGAATTGCGATTTTAAATTGAAAGATCTGGTTGAAAGCAATGCATTGGTGCTTGTCCCATCAAAATCGGACTAGCCGTTCTTGAGATTTGGAGGGGGGGGGGGGCGGCGAATCTACATCTGCAGTTGAAGATAAGTATCACCGTCCGAACGGAATTGAGCCTGAAAGGTTATAAGGTAAACTCTATCTTCAGGAGTGCATTTTTGCTTGAATTGTGTGCGAGGGTGATCTCATTCGCCCCTAAAGTCTGAAAAATCTACTTGGCCGATGTGTGCTGTTATCCAAACTGACAGCTGGATATATGCAAGCTTTTGGCACATAAGGGCTTATGAATGTTGTCAACATAAAAGCAATGCACATGATAGCTGGATCCAGGCACGCATGAGCATAGACGAGAAGCATAATCCAAGCATGATTGCACGGAAGCCGTCATTTTTCAGCGGCCGATGCAATAGCATGCGGCTGACGTCAATTCATGATATCGCCAGCACCAGCGCCGGACTGCAGTACGTCCCGAAAATGGGTGAACACGTACAGTCCTGAGTGATAGCTTCGTGCCAATCAGGCTGCGACGATTGAAAGCCCTCAGCATAAGGGGAAAGGTTGGTTGTTCGGCGCATCGGCCCAGTTACTTCAACCTTAGGCCGCCGTGATCGGCTGGCTTGGCGACTGGATGAGCCCTGTGGCCGACACCATGAATACCGCCAATTTTGAACATAAGTTTGAAACCAACGATCGCATCGTGAGGCATTTTTTCAGCAGCAACACAATTGTTTGACCCACTATCAAACGCCCCCACTTTGTTCTTTCACTACAGCGCCTAAACAAGCGGAGCTTTTGACCCGAAGTTAATAGCGCTCTCATGAAACGTTCACACCTCGTTTTCAAAACATCGGAGTTTGGTTACGGTGCCTCGACACAATAGGTTATGTAAAAGGGAGGAGTTAAAGGGGTTATCTGTGGGTCAAATCGGTTATTTCCTGGTAAGGGATGGTCACAAAGAAATCGTCGCTGCCGCTAGGCTCATGAAATGTCCCAAGAACTACAGCCACCATCCCCCCCCCCCCCGCCAGTAGTACCACCACTACGACGCCCCTGTGACGTAAAATATCACGTCGGGTCCCTGTGTGCAGGAATCGCGGTCTCCAGCTGTCTCGGAGTCAGCGTAGCACGGCGTGAAACAAAATAACCCCTAGCAGGAAGGACTGGCAGCCGGCATCGGTGCTGTATCTCGCGGGAGCGCACCGGACCCCGCCGACGGTAAAGACGCACAGCTGGGCGGTGTCCCACAGCAGCTGCTGCGGCCGACAGCACCCTGCGGTCTAGCAGAGGCGGCGCGAGCGGCGGGTACAGGGCGGGCAAGCCCACTGCTAGAAAAAGTACGCTAACGTTGCAGTTTTTGCAGATTTATTTGTTGACGGTGCTGCGTGTAATGAACAAGGTGGAAAGCATTGCAAGTGCACCATCCATCCTCATCTGCTCAGAACCCGCCACCACTTTGGTCGATGACTAGTGCGACAGGCGCCTAACCTCTATCTGCTCAGACGACCCGCCACCACTTTGGCCGATGACGCGTGCGGCAGGCGCTGCCATACGCCCATCTTCTGCGTTGAGCGTGCCAATCGTTTGATGCTTCCGGTCCGGTAGTTTTGTCAGCGGCGTCTGCACAACCCTGATATAGAGCCTCGCAGGGCCACGGCTCTCCGCGCCGCGGCCCTGGACGTCTAAGCGGGGGCAAGTTGCCGTACTGCTGGACGTGGCAGCAGATCACAGTTAGCAGAATAAGCCTCAATTATGATTGCAGGTGAGCACGGTGCGGTGGTGACACTTTTCATTCACACATCCAGCGAGAAACTGCTTCCCTGGACAGAGTCCACCCATCCGCCGGCAGCGGCCGTGGCGGAGCGTGTCACGTGACTGCGGTACTCGGCTAGTCCGTGCAGTCTGCAGCCTCCAGGTATTCTGTGCGGTCTGAACATCATGGCGTGCAGCCTACCACCGGCACCGCTCGCCACACCACGCCCGCTGAAGGCGACTGCCAGGTGCCGGTGCACCCTTGGGCAGAGGGCGCGCTGCCAGCTGGCGCTCCTGAGCGGGCTCCACTGAGTTCCACGCTTTACACCTTGGTCTATTAGGCGGGCTCCACCGAACTCCACACTTTTAGAAATCAGGCGACGGCGCGAGGCCCTCACAGCCAGGCGCAGCAGGCGCGCCCGGCCAAGGCAACTCCCGTCACAGGCGGCCGAGACCACCCCCCCCCCCCCCCCCCGGCGACAGCGCAAGCAGCGGCGCCTAGCTGGCAGCTGCTGAGAGGGCTGCACGACAACCATCTCCAGCACACAAACCACCTGCTGGAGCACAGGCAGTCGACGAAGGTCCACCATGGTCTCGGACGTGACCTCGGCGCTTGCGCGGCTAACACGCTCCAACATCCACCGGCGATGCCTCGCCCATGGTGCCTCGCTAAATGCGTCTTAAAAATAGAAACGACGAGAAACGTTGAAAACGTCAAAAGTCGCTCTAAAACACCAAACTGTCACTTGTCAGGTTACGGCAACATGAATAAATGTTTTCGGTCGTGCGAAAGCACCTGCTGTGGCGAATGCCACAGACCGAGATTGTGGTGAGCCGTATGACAGCGGGAAACCGTATGTGGGCTGTACGTGAAGCGCATTCCGTAGGAGAGACCGAGATTGGATAGAAGATATGCTAATGAAGATGACAAGTGTGTCCATGTTGGCTTTGGCAACTCCAGAGGTTGCTCGGGCTAAAAAAAACATCGGGTTTGAGGGTGAGGGAAGAAAAGGCGGATTAAATTGTTGATGCTTCTGTTTTCTCAATGTGGTAGCCCGTAAGGTTTGCGGAAGTGGCGCAGATGTGTCCATCAGCTTTGATTTTAAAAAAACTTCTGGGCTTGCGCTCGTGCCCACCCTTCATGCCGATAAGATAGTCCGTGATAGTATGATGGTAACGTTCATACTTCGTGAAACAAAACTTGTGAGTGATATTTTTTCTTATAGAAATCTTCTTTCAGCGCCGTTTTCAAATAGTCTACACCGGTGTCCGCAAATGCCAGCTCCCACTCACGGCATCGATCAATATCATGCCATCCTACTATTTACCTGGATGTTTTGTATTGTTAAGTGTGCAATATCCAGGAAATAACTCATATGCAGTGTAGGAAGAAGAGTATTTTCCTTAAAATTAACTGATGTCCAAAATTTGTAACGTTTGGTACGTATGGTGCGTATGTAAGATCTAAATTACACATGTGATGTTGAAAAAATTGTAATGCATGTGCAGCATAAATCAGAGTGCTCAGAGTTTTTTGCAGTTACTACCTAATTTAGTGCTTAGGGAGTCTATGTTTTAAAGATGGTTTCATATGAATATACCCAGAATATATTTTTTTCACAAACAAATGAGCTGAAGATTCAGCACAGTTAGGCCTGGACAAGTTTGCCACATAAGGATGAGGCCTAGCAAACCAATGCTTTGCTGGGATCTGGTGCAGTGGATGAATTTTAAGTAGACTGTTGAAGGATCATATGTCCAGAGTTTTGCATTCTTCATAGCCATGGTGTGAGTTGTTCAGGCTGAGGCAGTAGGAATGTTAAGTTCAAGAAAATTGTGATATCACTAGTGTGTTGCACATCTTGCACAATCAGATCAGGGGTGGTGCATACTCTCATTGAACTCCCAACAATCTAGCTGTCCACCAGATGTATCAAGTGCTCTTAATTTTTACTGCCATTTTGAGCTCCAGCTCAAAGCCTGCTCACCAATTTAGTGTGAGTAGCCTGTAGCATGTATGCCACTTGTTGTTTAAAGCAGTTTTAATGTAAAAATGTGATAAATCAGCAAATAAGTTTGATTGTTGGGAGTAGCAATATGGATATTACTAATATATGTATGTTTATATCCTAACAACAATCATCTTCAGCATGCGGCATATGAAGCTGGATATGAAGCAGGTGCTTTTCTGCATCACCATTGTGACTTTGGTGGGCTGCACTGCAGCTCACTTGGATGCAGAGCATCACACCCATGCATCATCAACAGAAAAAGTGGTAATCTATGACAATGATTTCATGCACTTTGCATGCACATATGTATTGAGAGGAGTGAGAGCGGTGATTGGTATACACACTTACTGCTTCGTAGCTAAAATATTTTAAGTGAATTTACAGCCCTGATGAACAAAGAGCACCAGAGATTTCTGGATAAACTACAAGTATTATAAATGATCCACATAAGTGATCTGCACAGTAGAGGTACTGTTCAAGTAATCTTTCTTGCCATATTTAATTTTCCCCAGCCTACATGCACACTCATTTGCCAGCCTAAGTGCATTCATCATCTGCCATTGTTCACCAGCCTGTGACAGTACATGATGGAAGTCCGTTCCCGCCGGCGGCCACGGCGGCGCTGGACGTGGGGTTCGCGCACGGATTCGTCGCGGCCTTCTCCGTCATCATCGTGTCCGAACTGGGCGACAAGACCTTCTTCATCGCGGCTATCATGGCCATGCGCCACCCCCCGGCGGTGCTGCTGGGCGCCGTCGCCGCCCTCTTCGCCATGACCGTGCTGTCCGGTGAGTGCGTGGTCGGCCGTCAGAACAGAGGACCGGGTCGGACCGCTGCATGTTCCGAAGTCGAGTCAGTCACAGTGTGATGGTCCTCACTCACCGGTTACAGTCGACTTGTGTTTCGCCTGCCTCTCCGTGCCGTTCCACCGGGTCTCGCGGTTACGGTCGAGCCGCTGCGCAGAGGCGTGCCCAGCCTTTTCCGCGCCGCCCCACCGGGTCTCGCGGTCACTGTCGAGCCGCTGCGCAGAGGCGCGCCCAGTCTTTTCCGTGCCGTCCCACCGGGTCTCGCAGTCACTGTCGAGCCGCTGCGCAGAGGCGCGCCCAGCCAGGCGGCGAGCGCGCGCTAACACACATACGATGGTATTTTGGTGCCATGCCTGTCGGCGTTATCGCACATAGGAGCTCCCCGAAAGACCAACGGCTGCCTCAAACGTAGCGCGTCGCTTTGGGGCTGCCTGGCGAGAGGTGACGAAGGGGATTAAAAAATCATCAAAACTCCCCGGTGTTTTGACTGCAGTGGTGTGTTGGTGGGCATTGCTGCCGCTCCGTGCGCCGGGCCTCCACTCCGTCTGCCGTGCCGCCGCTCCGTGCGCCGTGCCGCCACTCCATGCGCCGTGCCGCCACTCCATGCGCCGTGCCTCCACTCCGTATGCTTTGCTGCCGCTCCGTGCTCCGTGCCGCCGCTCCATGCGCCGTGCCTCCCCTCCGTGTGCCGTGCCGCCGCTCCATGCGCCGTGCCTCCACTCCGTGTGCCGTGCCGCCGCTCCATGCGCCGTGCCTCCACTCCGTGTGCCGTGCCGCCGCTCCATGCGTCGTGCCGCCACCCCATGCTCCATGCCGCTGCTGACCGTTCGAGCTGACGCCCAACTGCTGCAGTGCTGCTGGGCTTCTCGGCCCAGGTGATCCCGCGCCTCTACACTTACTACATCTCCAGCGCCCTGTTCGCCTTGTTCGGCTTCAAGATGCTCTACGACGGCATCCGTATGGGTCAGAACGAGGCGCAGGAGGAGTTCGAAGAGGTGCAAACGGATCTGCGCAAGCGCGAGGACGAGGTGGGTTTGTTATAGGCGATTGTTGTGTTCTGGATCTTAATGCCAATATTTTCGCTCGTCGTGAGCGCCGGACAAGCGAGTCACGTGTTCTGGGGGAGATAAACCTGCAACACTGAATAAAGCTGCTTTGCATAGACGTCTGCCACACAGAATCAAGTTGCATGTAAAGGTTACTGAAAATTATGTGTAAAGACGTTTATCCGTCTAATGCACACTCAGCTTGTTAAGCTCATGCTGATAGATTCAGGAGCTTCTGTCGTGAGCTTTGTGTGCTACGTGCCGGTGTGCTGTCTGGCCATTCCGACAAGCCACAGCGATACCCGCTCTGGCACGGCCTGGTTCGCCGCTGCAGCGCTCGAAGACGCCACTGGATGTAGAAGCAGGACGAGAGCGACACAGCCCCCTGTCGTTCGTGTCAGGCGTCTTCCTGGAGGCGTTCACGCTGACATTCCTGGCCGAGTGGGGCGACCGCTCGCAGATCGCCACCATCCTCCTCGCGGCTAGAGAGGTAATTAAAGCTTGTGTCATCTGCTGGAGCTTTTTATGAACCTGTGGGCCGTGTGTTGTCTGCCTGTTGATTCGAACGCAGTACGTTGACTTCACGCCGGGCCCATAGTTACCCATGTAGCTCATGTGTCGAGCAGACACGATCTTGACTTTTGGCGTAACAAATGAACCGAACGTTCGCTATCAAGCACGTGCATGAGGCCCGAACAGCACGTGCGTTTGCCAGTGTAGGTGGCACCGGTCGTCGCTGTGTTGATCCCAGTACCACACACCGGTGCTGGCGCGTGGGGCGGTGGCGACGCCCCGACGACGCCTGCCATCTGACCCCAGGTCGCCCGCCGGCAGGATGCGTGGGGCGTGACACTGGGCAGCTTTTTGGGGCATTCTCTGTGCACCCTGCTGGCTGTGGTCGGCGGCCGTCTCATCGCGCAGCGGATTTCGGCCAAAACAGGTGCGTGCCGCCCGCGTAGCCGCGTGCAGCCGAGGACAGCCACGTTGTGGCCCACGCGCAGGCGGAAGATGGGGCGCGGTGACGGTGTCGTGTCGTGGCGACGGCCGACACGGACACCTGCGAATGGGCAAGGAAGATGACCAGAGGGCTTCCCATTCCATGGGCGTCATGCCCTTGGGGGAGGGTGGGCCGCTGCGAGGGAGTCGGATATTGACGCGCCGCGGCGAATGTTTCGTGACGAGCGCGGCTAGACCCGGTCCGGTGGCTGGTCTGACGTCCATGGCCAGCTGACCCCGCTCTCCCCTGTCGCGCCCACCAGCGCCACGTGGTGGCCCTGCCGTAAGGCTCGTGCCCCCCCCCCCCCCCCGCTGACCCCGGTTTCCCCATCGCCGCAAGCGACTCTGCGTGATGTCTGGGGTGGTTCGTGGCCACTGCAGATTCCAGTTCCCTCCGTCGCGCCCAAAGACCGGTGTTGTGATGCTCCCAGCTCCCACCGGTGCACCTTTGTCCTGTCCTAGCTGCGCCGCGTGACGTTCGTGCTGGTGTCAGGCTCGCGGTCCCCACTAACACGCGACTCCCCGTGCCCGCTAGTCACGCTGCTGGGAGGCGTGGTGTTCCTGGTGTTCGCCGTCAGCGCGCTCTTCATCAGCCCGGACAGCTAGAGCGGCCCGGCCGCGGCGGCTGCCAACACGCGGGCCCACGGAGCCGGTGGAGCGGCCCCCGCCGGCTGACGCGATGTGCGACACCCCTGTGGGCGGCGTAGAGGCGCCCAATGCAGCAGCTCCCATTCCAGTTTGTTGTTTTCCGCCGGATTTAGATGATTGGGAAGTGGGGAGCAGCGGGATGGTTACTAGATGTCAGTGGGTCACACATTTGTTTTATTTATTGATCGTTATTAGCTGTTGCCGAGGTTGATATTTTGATGACTTAACTAGTCAGCAGCTTCTGACAAAGCAGCCTAGTCAAGGGTGCCGGCGATATTGCCCATCGCCTCGTGTGGGGCACCCAATGGACGGGCGCGTAGATAGTGCCAAAGATCATATTACCGATATGCAGGAAGATTCGACAAGATTCTGGACTCTGTGTCGTAGGCAGCGCAGTGCCGTCCATCATGTTCCGTTGCGACGTTTTATGCCGACCGTTTCAGCTTGACCGAGATTGTTGGGGCGTCTCGTGTTCACAAGGAGTCCAGTTGGCGGCCTGCTAGCCTGGCGTGGGTCTCACCTTATGCGTGTGTTATGGCCCTGGTTCGAGCCTGCAGATTCGGCCGCGGAAGTACGTCACCGTTGAATTCCGGGCGGATGTGCTTGTAACTCAGCAGGCAAACTGATATGCCAATGAACTTGTAACTTACGGTTTTGTCATTGTAAGGCCGAGGCTCACATTCGTTGGTTCTTACGCTGCCTGTTCACGCGTGAGACCGAAACTGGCCTGGGCATCACCATAGTGGTATGAACCGACATTTCGCTGAGATCATTGAGTTCTGCATGTCGTCACACGTTGCTTAGTGTGTTACGCGTGTAGTCTTTGTCTCATTCAACGTCAGGACGACCGCGAATAGGCGCTATTGACCCGGTCTCTGCGTTTGGGGGAACGCGGTGGATATGGCACATACAATGGAAGTTTCTTGCAGTCAGTTCATGGCTTCAGGTTGTCACCTTAAAGCTGAGATGCCGAGATTCAAAAGCAGGATGTTTTCATTGACCCTGTTTTCACTGAAACAAAGCGAATACCGCATGGCCTGTGGTTGCTACCTCAGAGGTCGCTCGTTCTACAAACCGGCCTGCTATCGTTTGTATCGAGTGGTCCATATCCATCCTGTTTCATCGAAACCGGATGGGGTGGTTGTCGAACTTGGTCGATTTGACATGGAATGTTCCGCCCGCCCCCTCCCCCCCCCCCCCCCCGTCCGCAACAGTAATGGGTAGTCAGTTAATAACGCTGCGCAGTCGTATAGTGGGCCGCGCTGCGCCTCAGTGAGCTCGTGATGCCACTCAGATGTAACCTAACCCCCGCAAGCTTTAATCGTTGATTTTGCATCTCACAAATTCTGAATCGATACCAGGCACGTGATCCCCACCCTGACCCTGCCGGCTGGCCGGCCCGGCAGGCGATGGCGTGCACACCCAGCGATTATTTTCTGCGCATAACCGACCGTCTCGCTGCGCAACCGGAGAGCTGATTGTCACTGAGGGTGAGTGTGCGGATGTTGGGTGACCAGGACTGTGTTTGAGTGGCATTGTGCCGCGCTATATTGTCCACGTAGTAGGTGCTGGATGTGTTTGGGCTTCTAGTTACACGCCTCCAACGACCAGGATCCATGTGCTGTGCTGTGATGTTGCACCGGTCATTGTTGTGTTCCCATTGGTACTCCGGAGGCCGGCAGCATCTGGCGACCGTCACGCTTGTGCCATAGGCCAGCGGCCAGGCTGGTGACACCGGCCGCGCCCTCGCTCCGCCGCCCGTGTCTAGTGGCCCACCGCTGCTGCGCGTGGCTGTCTGCGCGCCCCGCTCTCGCCGACACATACAGATCAGGCAGGGATCACGCCTGATTACTGCACCGTCCAGCGCGCCGCTCGCCGGCCAGCTGACGGCACCGGCCGGCCCCGGCTGACCGCGCTGCCGGCCCCGACTGATCGTCCTGCCGGCCCTGGCGCGGCACAGCCACAGCCGCATCTCTCAGCAGAGCCAACAGCAAGGCGGCCAGTTTATTGATGACGTGCTAGTTGCGGTGAGAGCCCCTCGGGTCGGCGGCGAGGGCGGACCGAGCGCGTGCGATCACAGCTCGGCGATGGAGCGCCACCGGTCGTGTCCGAACGGCGGCCGAGCACGTCAGCTGTTGGCGGCCGGGAAGCCCGCCGAACGACGACAGTGGAGGTGAGTGCGATGGTCCTACGCGCCGGGCTGGAAAGAGGCGGGCCTCGGTCAGGCGGCGTTGCCAGCGGGTCGCCGGCGATGCGGCACCGATGACGCCGGACGCGCCCCGGGTACGGCGGGGCGGGCCGCAGTCTTTCGATAGTCTGCCAGAGGTGCGACTGAACCTCCGACGTAGAGACCAGCCAACCCAGTCATATGCGCTTTCCCATCTCACCTTCATCCACGTAGGCGAGGCTCAACTACACGGACGCGTGGCGTGACCAAATCCAATCAAAATATAATTGTTTTCCCCACGCTATTGTTAGTGGATGCTTAAGTTACCAGGGCCTAGCGCGCTCGCAGCCATCCAACATTCAATCCCGGTGTCATTCGTGAATCTGTACGCGGGCGCAAGCACGCTCGCGCACTTTTCCCTCTAAACCCGTGAAACTAAGAGCGTGCTCGACGGGCTGAGAATCTCAGAGCATTATCCGGAATGTTGGAAAAAAAACTGGTACTGTCAACTAGGGGAATTAGCGCAGATGATTACCCGTACCGAGGAAGAATTGCGTGAAATTTTCAGTGCATGGTAAAGACAATCTTTTTCCGCTATGCGTTGCTATGACCGCTGGCTATGTATGGCGCGACGAAGCAGGGGGATAAATTCCGGACCTGTTAAATGGGAATGGAGCATCTCCGTGGAGTCTCGAAGAAATAGTTACTCGTTGAATAATTTCTCCTCGGCCGCGCAGATGTTTCCCCATTCGCCCTAAGACAGATATTTCATTGCTTTAATAAAACTCAGTTAAACGCGACGAGTCTCAACGCGATGGGCACCACTCGCATGTGTTGCTATTCTAAACTTTCACGAGATATGTAACAACTTACCAGCGTCAACCATCGTGCATGGCCCGATTTTTGTGCTCACCCATGCTATGGCGGGCAGGACGAATCGTGAGATCTACGGACTCGCTGCGTAAGGTGGCAAAATGGACCGACAGCGTTAGGGTACTGACTCGCACATGGGGACACAGCGGCCCCCCCCCCCAAAGCTGCAAAAGTGCCGCACATGATGGCGTCACGGTTGGCACCATCGACCAAAGCCCCGTCGTGTGTGAATGTCATCACATCAGGGCGTGGCCGCGCAAGCTGACCACCTGTACGGATTTGCGGCGCTCCGATGATCTGGTGCTGCCAGAAACACAGTACGGCATGCTGACGACTAAGCACACTCATGAGTGGAGGCCAGCCACTCGACACGTACCGGTCTTAGCGCATCTTGTAGCTGCGGTTGTCCTTGACCGTGCACAGCTCGCCGTGGAAGTTGAACTCTATGTGGAAGTCCAGGTCGCGCTGCAACAGACGCCGCCGCCCCGCGTCAACCGCAGGGTTGAAGGGAGGGGGGGGGGGGGGTGCACTGCACGTCCGGCCATTGTGGCGGAGTGGCGCATCGCGCCGTCCTGAGCCCGGCTGCATGGCGTCGGAATCCGGGCCAGCGCGACGCGGGTCTGGAATGCGCCGCACGGCCGGCGTCACAGCGTCACGAAAAACCGCGGCTCGCCCATGCCGGCGCCGATTCAACAAAAGTGAACGATTGTTTGTGGTTCTAAAACAAGTCCAGCGGCAGGAGAGCGGACGGCGCCGGTCGCACGTCGCCCTGCGTCCCGTCCCAAGCCCGCTCACGTTGTTCTTCTCGTTGGGCTTCATGGAGAAGGTGCCATCGATGGTCTCGCCGTTCTTGCAGGTCATCTGCTCAGTGGTGTAGAACACGGTTTGCTTCCAGTGGGTGTACCGCGACTCGGGTGCTGTCGGGAAGGGGGGGACGGCACGTCAGTGGGGGGGGGGGGGGGGGGGGGTGGGGGGGGCGCATCACCGATGACGGCGAACCACGGATCTGGCTGAAGCAGGGCTCATTAGCCTTTGGACCGTGAGGTGGCTAGAGGGGACAGCACACGGGGTTAGTCACGTCCAGCAGAGACCACGGCACCCGGAAGTAAAACGAAAGGCGGCAACCTTTAGCCGTCAGTTCCAGTTACAGACCGAAGACATGACACGCTACCCTTCACTGAGGCTGGGGAAGGTGTGGTGGTACGGTTCCAAACATATACCAACGATCTACCCATCTTCGGCTTTGCAATGTGTCTCCGCACACCATCACTCTTAATCAAATGTTGAGGAGCGCCCGCGTACGCCGGTGGAGTCGGGGGAGGGGTAAGGAGAACTTTCCCACCCGGCAAGCATAACATAACGTACTCACAAAATAATTTGAGCCTTTTTGGAACTGCTCACAGGTCACGAATTGCCCCACTTTCAATACACGATAAGCGACTGGTGAAACTCATGCAGCTGATTGCACATACCTACAATGAAAACACCAGAGCATGCCCTCCGCCACCCCGCCGAGGCTATAACGAGTACTGACGATCCAATGAAAACAACGGCTTCCGGTCGAGCGTGGTCGTCCCGCAACCTCCACACAGACGGGACCTGGCGCACCTGTGCTGAAGCCCACTCGCTTGTGGCACTTGGTGAACTCGATGTTGAAGTAGGTGACGAAGGCCTGCACGTAGTCACTTCGCCGCACCTTGAGCGTGAAAGGGGCCGAGAAGGCCAGCTCTGCCTTGGTGATGGTGGCCAGGTCCACCTCCTTCAGCAGGCACGAATTCGTCACCACCTGGAAAAGGACGTGGATCAGACGCGGACGGGGGGACGTCACGCCCACAACGATCGCGGAATCCGGTCCCTTAGTTTTGTTCTGGGGCATTTTTTCCACACTTCGCCCATGGACTTCTGCTGAAATCTAAATGATAGAGGGTGGGGGGGAGGGGTCCGGCCCCGAGGGTGGCGGGAAGCTGCCGGTCACCCAACGGCCGGCAGAGGCCGACAAACATAAACCCACGCACCTACGGCCGGCGGCAGGTCAGCGACGAGCCGGAGAGCGCCATCGTCGCGCATGGCGCTCCCAACCCACGCCGCTTCCCACGCAAGCAATGCAAGCCTGCAACAATCCCGTGGACCCGGATTCGTGATTCATGCATAACTAAGTTTGCCAGACGTGCACAGAATATCTATGAGATGTTTTGCAAAACGAAACGAATTGTGCACCATGCGTCGCCTCGTGTCGGCGAGCTGACCTGTTTGGGGTCCACCACGTCCACTAGCGGCTCGGAGACGGCCACCTCGCGGATGCAGCTCATGTCGAAGCCGTAGACGTCGTCCCACCAGTTAATCTTGCTGTCCTTGTACTGCTGGTCCTGCAGATGCCGCGAGCCACGGACGTAACACACCATCACGCATCACCACAGCGACGGGACGCGCCACCAAGAGTTCTCGAACCTCCGAGCAGCAGTAACGTAACGTAACGTAACGTAGAGTACGATAACGGCTGCAGCGAGCCGCAGCAGCCAACTACGCCGTGCGCAGGGACTGTCCCAGACGGCGACGGCGATGCATAACTCGGACATTACAGCAGAGGACAACGACAGGATTTTAGATGCACAATTCCTTGTTATCATATAAACACATGCTTCTTGAGCCCAAAGCTTGAGCATCAGAATGCAGGCGAACAGGTTCGGACTAACCAGAAGAGCGGGGGCTGATTGTCGCGTACACCTCGGCACAACGGCACTCGCGTAATACCGGCCGTTTAAAATTTACCGACCTCTCGGCAAAAAATCATGGGCAGCTCTTTTCATGTTGCGAGGACATGTCGGCATTGGCCACAGACATAGCAAAAATAATCAACGGAAGTTGCATTATTCACGTTGCTTCCAACAAGGTCACTGAACCCATGTGAACAATCCGGTTTCATGAAAATGAAGAAAAACAAACTGGGAATGGTGAGAATACCATGAGTGGAGGACAGCAAGTTGGCTCCTGTACAATTTTGCACTAAACACTGCGGTTCAAACATTGCGGCCTGGTGACAAACCCGGTGCTATTTGTCCGCTAACGCGATATTCCGTATGCGTGTGACCCCGGGCCGCAGCCCCGGAGCAGGACGACCGCCAACGCCGCCCTCACCTCGATGGCTGTGATGAAGAGCGTGGCGCGGTCGGGGAAGAGCATGCCGCCCTCCGCCAGCCACTTGTCACGCGCGTACAGCACCGTGTCCAGCATGGACTCGTAGAAGAGGCAGTAGCCCATCCACTCCGAGATGATGATGTCCACCTTGCTGACTGGCAGTGTGATCTCCTCAACCTTGCCCTTGATGATCTCCACCACTGGGGAGCGCAGCACATGTCTCAGCTGAATAACTTCCACTGGTGCCACATGCGTGCGGCCACTGTTCAAAACAACACTCACTTGACAGTTTCGCTCTACCACGGACCATGTGGACGGGTACGAGTACTTTCAAAGGCTATTGCTTGCCTTCGGCTCCTGTGCGATTCAGGCCTCTCAAACGCCTTTAGAAAGCATGCAATTTTGACGTGATTTCAGGTGGTGATCAGTTTTGCACGTAAATGGCTCTAATGATATTTAGGTGCTACTGTCACGGCAACACGTCCGGAAACTGGAAAATAGACACGGAAAAATACGGCTGATCGTTAATGAAATCAGGACGGCTTAATTCCGCGTGAGCACATAAGCAAGAAACATACTGTCATAAGGTTACACAAAAACCATGATGGGCTTAAC